ATGTCTGGTCTGATCCCTGTTTACCGTGATCAGGTTTTCAACTAGGAAACTGCTACCCTTCTAAGATACCACCTCTTACTTTGGGAGAAACAGACACATCTTCTAAGAGATAGAGGACCCCTCTGGCTATAAATAAACACAAGAGCACCTTGTTTATCTAGGTCACTTAGAGGCCAAATATCCAAAACCTTAAATATGCAGACTATGAGCGTGTGGGGAGTTTAGAAGAAAAGATTATGAGCTACTACACACTGCTGCTGAGAACTCCATCCTCTGTTGCTCTTCGACTTTGTCACTTTGGGATCTTTTCCCCAGTCCTAACTCTGCTGCAAGCTTGGCTGGCTGAAGCCAGCTGGAAATGCTGGCCTTGGGATTGCACTGGCTTGGGCGAAACTTAGATCCCAGAACCCAAACTTCCCAACAGACAGCAAGGGCTCCTCAAGCAAAAAGCTTAGATCCCAGAACCCCAAATTCCCAACAGACAGCAAGGGCTCCTCAATAAAAAAGCAACAAGTCAGAAGGGGAAGGCTCTAGGAGGCAGGCATACTCATAACAGGATGTGAAAGCAGGAGGATTGATAGAAAAGAGTCCCAAACTCTCCCGTGACAAAGTCCAATGATGCTAACACAGTTGCTAATTTATTGGGCATCTACATAAAAAGGCAGAGCAATCTTGCAAAATATTTATGATTATGACAGCTTTGCAGATGAGGAACCTGAGGCCTGGGAAGTTTAAAAGGTCAATAAAAATTCAAATCTAAATCTGCCTATTCCAAATAGGCATTACCTGGTTGCTGTCACAAAAGTGAAGCCTGAGTCATCAAGAAAAAGTTGACTCCTCAATGTAGGTTTCAAAAAGACAAGGAAGTGCAGCACATGATTTAGAATACTCTTGATCAGAAATCCTTTAAAGAAGAACTTTCAGAACTCTTTAAAGTTCTTTTTTAAAGAACTTTAAAGGTGGATATTTCAGTATCTGGACATTTCACCTAAATAGAATGTCATTCTTCAATGATATGTGGTAAATGAGATATTGCTGTGTTGAACATAGCACATAAAATCATTTAGGTAGACTTCCTTAAGAGGTTTTTAGCCTAAGAATGTTCTTTCATTTCTTGCTAGTGGCTTTTGCATTTTCTGAGACCCATCAAGATACCCACCTAGAAATTGCCAATTCTTTTTTTTTTTATTTTTCTGAGACAAAGTCTCACTCTTTCGCTCAGGCCTGAATGCAGTGGCGCAACCTCGGCTCACTGCAACCTCTGCCTCACAGGTTCAAGAGATTCTCCTGCCTCAGCCTCCAGAGTAGCTGGAATTACAGGTGTGTACCACAAAGCCTGGCTAATTTTTTTGTATTTTTAGTAGAGATGGGGTGTCACCATGTTGACCAGGTTGGTCTTGAACTCCCGACCTCAGGTGACCTGCCTGCCTCGGCCTCCCAAAGTGCTGGGATTACAGGTAGAAATTACCAATTCTTAAAAGGGCCCAGCCTCTTAGTTTTGGTTTTTTTTGAACCTCTGGGATGGGGTGGGTGCTGAGCCTGTTTTTGAACTCCTCAACAAGCTGTGTATCATATGGAGGTGGGTGTTTTTAAAAATGTATACATTTAAAATTTTAGAAATGGAAAAAACCACTCAACTTTGTGTATGGGTTTCTAAAACCATAACATTCAGTCTGTTGGCTGATGACTCAAGTGAAAGGCCTCTGTCTGCCAGGGCAGCAACATCCTAGCAGCCTCCACTCCTCGGGGAATAAAATGTCTTCTCTCTGTTTGCCCAGACGGCCCGGAGTCTTGCCCTTTTGTCCTTAGGCCACAGGAGTCTGGCAGTGCCACGGCGGCCTCTGGTTTCTGCCCACCGGTTCTACACAGGCCCCCAAACAGCCTATGGGTGCCCAGGATTTGCTTTTCTGCAAGTGCCTGGAGGGAGGAGTCAAGGGAAGCTCACCAGAGATGGTGGCCTTGAATTGCCCTGAGTCAGGCAAAGCTGTGGCTTGTGAGTGAAATTTTCCAAGCACACAGCAAACTTCAATGGAACAAGGTTAATAATAAGCAATGGTTAGGGGAAAAGGTCTGTCTGGGGTTGAGTCAGCAACTGTCTCAACCTTTGGGATGTAGACTTCAAGGTATACAGAGAGCCGAGGGCCCAGGGGCCACAGCCCAGGATAAGTAATTTCATATCATGGCCCTGTTCCCAGGCCTCCGGGCAATCTTTGTGGTTAACCCAGCACATAGGAAGAACCCGGGCAAACACGAGGTTGGGCGTGCGGACTATTGCTCTTTCTTCACAGCTAGGCTGGCTTCTTCTCCTGACTTTCTTGCTCAGTTCCCCTTTTTGCTGGGGTGTTGCTGCTGTGCGCTGTGATTGGGAGACCAGCCCAGGCAGTTTTCGTTTGGGAAGTATCCACCTTACAGGCCTGCAGAGCCAAATCCAATTTGAAGCATGCACCCAAAATAAAAGGAGAAAGCAGGCTAATTTCCTTGGATAGTGAGTGCTTTCCAAACCCAGGAGCTCCCTTGGAATGAAAATGCAGTATGGAAGAGAGTGGGAGAGCCAGAACAAGACAGAACTTCCAGGACTTCAGTTAGATTAATTGTTCCTTTCACAAGAAAGTACAACAAGGAAGTGGGGAGGGCAAGCCCGTTTACTACAAATGCAAATGGCCAGGGGAAAAGTCAGAAATACCTTGAAGAATGAGAGGCTGAGAAAACCAGATGTGTCTTTCTAAATACAAACTAATGAGAGAGAGAAAGAGAAATGGGGAGTAGAGGAGAAAAGTGGGGAGGAACAGAGAATTAATGACAAAGTTAGGTGGATGAGGGTTAATCCTAACAGAGCCTCTCTGACAGTTTGGCACCAGGGGAAACAGATCCCAGAAAGATTTTTTTCTGACCTCCCTCACTTTTTAGGTTCAAACCAGACACATGAGGTCATGGAATGAGGAGAAAAACAGGAAGTAATTTAGCGAGGATGATAAGCCAGAAGATACCCCTGTAAATCGCTGCTTCCCCCACTCCAACTCCAGCAAGGGCAATGCCTTCTTCTTTCCCTTCTCAGAGGCTCTGGCAACCTTCAGTTCTCCCCAACTCTGGGACTGAGTCCTGTATATGGAAGGGGCACCCCGCAGCCTGAAGCAGGCCAGGAGCATGTTTTTCTGGCTTTTCATCCTTCCCAACATGTTTTAAGTCATGCTTACTAGCTCCTAAGATTTTCCCTCCAAAAGCCATGCTTTCTCCCTCTGCCACTATGAATATACATAGGATGACCTCTTGGCAATTTCCCTGGGAGATTTGCTAGCATAAGCATAACAGAATTTGGCCCTCAGTCAAGAGAGGTGCTTAGTCAAATTTCTCTGAGCTCAGACCTAGTCTCTCTGTACATTATGTATGCTTCCATTTGTGCCAACCTTCTGCAGTCCAGCCAGAGGAATCAGGGCCCCAAACCCCTTATAAAGAAGCTCTTCTAACAGAAATTCTTGATCAAGTTCACTGTCAGGGAATCAGAAGGCTTGAGATGCTGAGCAAATGTATCCAGGGTGCGCATGTAACTTAGACAAAGAGGAACTGATGAGTTTCCCTATGTCATCCGTTGAGTCAAGAGTGGATGTGGGATTAGAAACTCCATCTTATGACTCTTAGTCATATGAGGCATCTATCCGGGAAACCCTTTGATTTTCAACAAAGACTACCTCTTGTTAGGAGAAAACCATTATGTAGGTGCAAAGTAGTCCTAGGAGGATAATAATGACATCAATTCACTGAGCCTCACAGTCTAGCACTAGTTAGAGAGGGGCCTTCTTTCCTCCATGAGGAAATCTGGCCCAGACCTGGCCTGTGGGAGCTTTGCCTGCTCCTTGGTACCTGTCCCGCCAGCTTGCCCCTTTATTAATTTTTCAGTATTCGCAATGCCTTAATAGCAAGGAATGCTTAGACAATTTATTAGTCACATGGGAGCACTGAACACTTATCAGAGTAACAGCACATTTAGGGCAGAATATGACTGTTGGCATATTCTTTTCTGCACAAAAACTCTCACTTTAATTCCAATGAGGAAAGACTTTCTAAGAAGGAGCTCAGTAGACAGTGCAAAGCACATCTGCATTCCAGACATGATAATGCTGCCTGCTTCCCAACCTTAACTTTTGGGGACCTCGGTGTTAACATGGCATTTCTAACGTACTCACAAGTGTCTAAATGTCCACTTGGGAGTTCCTAAGCCACACATTTCCAGGGTGGCAGAACCAATGCTGTAACACCAGCTGAGTCACGTTGGGTGACTGACCTAACCTCTCTGTGCTTCCCTTTTCTCTCTTTGCAAAATGGAGATCATAACAGCACTAACTTCCCAGCCCACTGTACAAAGCAAATGGATTAATATTTGTAATGCAATGAGAACAGAGTTTGTTAAATAAATCCCTAACACTGACTTTGAGACTCTAACTTGTGTAGCACAGGTATTAAGAACCAATATGAGTCTTAGAACTACTTTGATTTTTTTACCCCCCCTTTTTTTTCTATAAGGAAACCAGTTACCACTGTATAAAGTAACAGGCTGATCCTGCGTGGCTGGATGCAGAGTCTCCATTTGGGGATACGGCTGCTATCTTACTAAGGAAACGGGTAGGGTTTACACATGTAATAGCCTTGGAAATGGGTAGATCTCCAAGTGGAAGGTAAACCCCAAAGTCAAGCGGTGGGGTTTTGTAGGCCACCCCCTGCCACCGCATGGAAATTCTCCCCCACTGCCAGCCTTTGGAGGTAGGTTAATATTCTCTACTTTTCACTCAAGAAGGCTTTTCCCACCATACTGTGGGATCAACCACACCTTTATTTCCCTGGAAAGGGAATGTTCCCCTGAGGTTTTCCTCTGGGGCCAGGATCCACCACTGGTTAGCAGCAGGTCTTGGGGTGAGGGGTGCTGCTAGAAGTGACAAGAGCCGGGGTGGGGGGTAGAGCACGTGCGTCTCATGGAGGGATACACAGGGGGACAGGACGGAGCTTACTTGCAGTCGTGCTTCTCGATTTCAAAGTGAGGGTTGAAGTTGAGGACAATCTTCTGGTTGGGGTCGGGGGCGTAAACAATCCACTCGCAGTTTTGGTGGGAGGGGTAGTCCTGGGGGTAACCAGGAGAGGTGATGTAGCCAGCAACTTTGGAATTCAAACGACCTCCGCACGGTGGGTCTGAAAGAGAAGACAACAACCCAAAGAACTTCACATATGCTGCAGCTTTCTTCCCCCCACTCCCTCCTCTTCTGTACCAGTGCCTGATTAAAACTATTTTACAGACCTTTTATGGCAGTCCAGAAGACTAACCTACTTACTCATTCGGTGGAAGAGATTATTCCAGCTCATCCCTCCCCCTACCCACCCGACTACACACACACACAGATGAAAGTATTCCAGAACGTGGCCATAAATATTCTCAATTACATGGTCTGCGATTAACAAAACAAGAGGACTGCAAACTCAACATGCCTCCCTGCCTTTCCTGCCTCCCCTCCTTGGCCCATCTTCCTCTCCTCGTTCAACCTCCCATCTCTATCTTTATCTCATAAATCCTTCATTTGATTCGGTGTCTCCCAGCCCAGCCCAGGCAGCCGGCAGTCAGGGCTCCGGGAACTGACAATGGTGGTTTTGTGGTGCCGACCCACAAGTGAGCCTGGCAACAATTACATGTGGTGCAGAGGAAGCACTTTCAGCTTTGGGCCAGCACAGGCCCTGGAGGGTGATCGCAGCCTTTTTTTTTTTTTTTTTTAAGAAAAGAAAAAAAAGCAAAACCCCCAAACATTTAATTCCACATATACCACAAATTTGATTTATTATTTCATTATACACCGAATGGAAAAATCTGTATTAGAGAATCTACTGGCTCCAGTCTTGGAATTTCGACAAAGGTGCTTTGTGTTGAATGAATGTCTGTTTCTTGTGCGCTGTCTGCCCACTGTCCCTCCTGCCTGGTCACCACCACCAGAGTGTGCTGCTGCTTTGTCCGGCCACACTGGTCGTTGGCAGGAAGAGCTGGCTCCCTGTACCAGCAGTGCCTGGCTGGAGGCAAACAGCTTCATGTGGCCCAGGAGGGAAGGGAGCCACCTTCAAAGGCTGCAAAGGTGGGTGATGACATTTGAGGAATCTCATCTATTTGGGAGTAAAGTTCTGCAATCCTCAGCAGGAATTCTTGGGAAATAGGGAGTTTTGCTTAAATACCACAGTAGAACAGAAGCTGGGAAGGCACAAGAGACATGGAAATATTCAGAAGGCTCTCAGAGACCTTCCTGAGATGTGTGTCTCTTAGCATCAATCACGATTTAATATCGCCATCTGCGTGGAGCAGCATGGGCCTGTGAATTATGTATTACGACTCAGCAGCCGCCCTCCAGGATGGGTCTTTCTTCTGTGTTCACTCTTTGAGGGAACGGGTCATGCATTTTTTAACTCTACAGGTGCACTTTACTATTCCCCATGTCTGTTGGCATTACTATCTCCCAGACCTCTGCTTTAGATTACTGGCCTGACAGGCTTTAAATGTATAAAAGATGGGCACGCTTCACATGGGTGGTTGGGACACAAATCCACACAAGTAGCCTTTCCGGCATCAAGCCTCCAGGAGCTCAAACTGTGCCATGTTGAGCTGCCCAGAATTGAATGGATTCAGGTCCATTTCCTACTGGGTGGAAAACAAAAGCAGCCATTTCGTCAGGCTAGTAGACAGCACATCATCTTACCTAATGACCCTATACCCACCCCAACCCATGAGGACAATGGGACCATCCCTCCCACCCAGACCACAAGAGACCAGCAATGAGGCCCATTTCCTCTGCAGCCAATACCCACAGGCTTTCCAGGTGCCCGCACCACTCATCCATGCTGGGAACCCAATGTCATCTAGCCAGCCAAATTCTAGCCTGTTGGTCCAGGCTTATGCATATAAAATGAGGCAGAGTGGCCCTCTGAGAAGGCAGAGGTGTGAGGACAGATCACCAGCTGCTCTTACTCAACTAGCAGAGGGGGAAATTTCTACTGGCTCCAAAACTGCAGCCCTGCCACCAACTCACCCCAAACCACACTTTTTTCCCTTGGAATTCATCAGAGGAAACCTGAGCTGAGCTCCTGTTTAGTAACTGTTATGGTTTCCACATACTCTCCACTCTCCCCACCCACACTCCCTCCCTCCTTTCCCCATCCCTTCGTCTACTTCTCTCCAATTACTCTTGAAAGAGGAACTTTTCTCCCTCAATTTCCCCACTTCCCAGGTTTAGGCTTTTAGTAATTAGACCAGGCACACAGGTCAGCAGTAAAGACGGGAAACTTCTTCACAAAGGTTTCATTTTTCATCTAAAGTAAAAGTGATCATTCTCCACTACAAAAAAAAAAAAAAAATGTAAACTATATATATCTCATAGCTGATGGTCTGCACTGTCTGCTGTTAAAGCAAAAGAAAAATGAGTAATGCATTTCTTTTTTACTATCCTTTCTTTATCTGAAGAAAATCAAGGCACTTATTGAAGTATCAGAACTCACTGAAACATGTGCCCCAGTTGTGTATGGTTAACTTTTTCAATTTTCACAAATTTATAAACCCACATTTTTGCTTGGCTTGCATTCACACTCAGAAACACACAAACATAGATATTGAACACACTTCGAGAACATATACATATCATTAATTCACACTTTAGTCCTGTACACACGTTCACACCTTCTCATAAAATATCACACATCATTTGCACAAACATATATCCACAAAGATAAACACTAGAATTTCTGTTTTTATTTTTCTTGGAGAGAACAGAATTCTTGAAACATATCAGTAAAAATTTTAAAACACACTTAATCATTCTTCATCTCCTCTTGATAACTGATCTTTCATTTCTAGGGTTGGGGACACACATTTCTTAAATACAAACATGTCCCAGTAGAAATTAGCTAGAATTTCTTCTGAAGAGCTATACCATCCATTACTTTGTAGGCCTTTATTGTGCTCAAAAGTGAACTTTATACATGGCTTATGTCCTGTTTCGGAGGAGTCAAGCTAAGCCGAAGGAGAGTTGAACTCAAGGGCAAAAGCCTTAAGGCCAATCTCCATATACAGAGGGGAAATTGACCCTGTGGAAGTTTGAGCTACTGAGCCTGTTTGGTGAGTTGACAAAGGACTTCATTCTGCAACTATTTCGTGAATACCTTTCACCTGTGGCAAATTCATCACCCAAAGAGAGATAGCAAAACCCAGGTTTGGACTGTTCAGAGCAGTTTTCTCCTACGCCTGCCGGATGAGCCAGGCCAGGTCTGAGAAAAGCCCAAGGCTGAAAGGAATAAGGTGACAGCTCCAGATGTAATTGGAAATAAAGAGAACACCAAGTTCTGAGGTTACCAAGTTCTGATGTTCCTCCTCTAATGACTACTTAGGTGTTTCTATTTGAAATGTAAGAGATCAGATTGTCTTAAACTCTTTCTGTCTTGTTCTTTTTCTCTTAAGTATTGCTGTGATGCAGCCTGGGTAACGTAGCCCTGGAAAGGCAAAGGGATATTGTACACCTTCACTTAGGAACTCACCTTCCTACAGAACCCAATCACTTTTCTTGCGAATGTTTAATTTTTAAGAAATATTAAGAATGGGAAAAGAAGATCTTGTAAAAATCTGGTCTGCCTTCTAGAAAAATTTAGTTGGCATTGTTTTAAAAGATTACTGTATAGCCTGAACTTGACGATAATGTTTGCTAAATACTGAAGCCTGACTGTAGTGAGAACTTTCTAAATAGTCAGATTACTATGGCTAACTTCACAACAGCTTGGTAAAAGACCAATCAGATCCTTCACTTTAGTTGAACTGAAGGAGAGAGCCCTTGGCAAAACCAGGGAAATTTGGGCACTGGCTGGATGTGGGATATAGGGCCCAGTTGTGAAAGGTGAGTCTGGGGTAATGGAACTGGGTTACCAGGAGTGGGAGGGATCGACATAGGCAGAAAGACGGGAGATGGCACCCAGCTCTTAACTCACTCACTTTGACCTTTCTGGGGCTCAGCTTCAAGAACTGTAATTCAATGAATGGACTGAATTAGGTGTGTAGCTTTCAAATTTATTTTTTTTTTTGAAGTACTTTTTTTCTTGAAGAAAACTCTACCTAGACCTCTAATGTACCAAGAAAATAAAAGGGAGCTCTTCTTGGATGCTGGGAGGGAGGTGGCCAGAAGCAGTGTACAGTCCAGGATTCCCAGTCCCTGCCCGCAGCTCGGAGGGGCTTCTCCGCAAGCCCTGCTGGAACATGGTTTGAAACCCTCTAAATGGGGCATCTCGATTCCCTGTTACTTTAAAATGCTATGGGAAAGAGAAAGAGCAGACGATTAGGAGACATCTATTTCCTATGTATACCTGAGGGCACTTAGTAGAGAAAAGCAATCGGTCTCATTTCCCCTGAAAATAATACACTACATTTACTTTACAATTTATTCTTCATCCACAGCATAATCCCAGCTTGTCCCTATTTCCACGGCATTGTTTTCATTTAATTATTGGTAGCAAGGCAAAGAAGAAACTCTTTATTCTACTTTAAAAGAAAGGAGGTTGTCACCTTGCCACTTAACTTACTCCACCAGGGCAGTTCATTGGAAACAGCACTGGAGCAGGATGTAAAAGCCTAGTAATCAAGTCTGGTCTTGTCACTGGCAAGCTGTGTGACCTTGGGTAAGTTAGTAGACAACTCTGAGCCTTTGCTTTCTCATCTATAGAAAGAGAAGAGTGATTTTAAAGGTCAGTTCCAGTGCTAAAATCCAAAGCCCATATAATGAGGTGGGGAAAAAAATCCTATAACCCATAGATTGAGCCAAAAATTCAAAAGATTCTCTACTGTCCTAAACAATAAGACATTTATTCAAGGTGCTACCTTACCTCTGTCTTGTCTGCTTGGTAAGCCTGAAACAAAACTGCAGGATTCTTCAGATGAACATGTCTGTCTTGCATTACGGAGAGTTCAAATGTCTCCTTTCATCACATTAGGTCTACTAACATGAGTTTCTTTTTGTAACTGAGCCTGTGGCTGCATATTTATAAATATTATGGATGCACAGTTCTGTGCGTGAGCATGTCAACAACAGTGATGCATGAGAAGAAAAACCAAAAGGAGTTTCTTCAAATCCCTCACCCAGATCTTCTAAGGCCTTGTCAGGGTTTTAACCAAATTTTGCTTA